TTGCTGAACCACAGTCAAATGCTGTTGCACCACGGTCAGCTGCTGCTACACCACCGTCAGCTGTTGCTGCACAACAGTCGGCTGTTGCTGAACCACGGTGAGCTGCTGCTGCACCACGGTGAGCTGCTGCTGCACCACAGTCAGCTGCTGCTGCACCACAGTCAGCTACTATTGCACCACCATCAGCTGTTTCTGACCAACATGACTCATCCCAAACCTGCCTGTCTAGCCTGAGCGCCTCAGCTGGACTGCTGTCATTGTTTACAAACTAGGGTGGCTGCTTGAATGCATACATTCGATACATTTTGTATTCCATTGTTTATATTGCTTGCAACTGCCCATGGGCCCGAAGAAAGCTTCTAGTGCTAACCCTGTGGTAAAAAGGGTGAGAAATATGTACTATCGTACCAAGGTCAGCTGCTGCTGCACCACCGTCAGCTGTTGCTGCACCACGGTCAGCTGTTGCTGCACCAGTGAGCTGTTGCTGCACCACAGTCAGCTGTTGCTGCACCAGTCAGCTGCTGCTACACCACAGTCAGCTGCTGCTGAACCACGGTCAGCTGCTGCTGAACCACGGTCAGCTGCTGCTGCACCACAGTCAGCTGTTGCTGAATCACGTTCAGCTGCTGCTGCACCACGGTCAGCTGCTACTGCACCAAAGTCAGTAGCTTCTGCACCACAATCAGCTGTTTCTGACCAACATGACTCATCCCGAACCTGTCCATCCAGCCCTGCCGTCAATGTTTACAAGCCAAGGTGGCCAGTTGCATGCATACATTCGATACATTTTGTATTATTCGATACATTTTGTAACTGCTAAATAAGCCACGATGGGTCCAAAGAAAGCTTCTAGTGACAACCCTGTGGTAAAAAGGGTGAGAAATAAGTACTATCGTACCACGGTCAGCTGCTGCTGCACCACCGTCAGCTGTTGCTGCACCACAGTCAGTTACTGCTGCACCACAGTCAGCTGCTGCTGCACCACAGCTGCTGCTGCACCACCATCAGCTGTTGCTGCACCATGGTCAGCTGCTGCTGCACAACAGTCAGCTGTTGCTGAACCATGGTCAGCTGTTGCTGAACCAGTCAGCTGCTGCTGAACCACGGTCAGCTGCTGCTGAACCACGGTCAGCTGCTGCTGCACCACAGTCAGCTGTTGCTGAATCACGTTCAGCTGCTGCTGCACCACGGTCAGCTGCTACTGCACCAAAGTCAGTAGCTTCTGCACCACAATCAGCTGTTTCTGACCAACATGACTCATCCCGAACCTGTCCATCCAGCCCTGCCGTCAATGTTTACAAGCCAAGGTGGCCAGTTGCATGCATACATTCGATACATTTTGTATTATTCGATACATTTTGTAACTGCTAAATAAGCCACGATGGGTCCAAAGAAAGCTTCTAGTGACAACCCTGTGGTAAAAAGGGTGAGAAATAAGTACTATCGTACCACGGTCAGCTGCTGCTGCACCACCGTCAGCTGTTGCTGCACCACAGTCAGTTACTGCTGCACCACAGTCAGCTGCTGCTGCACCACAGCTGCTGCTGCACCACCATCAGCTGTTGCTGCACCATGGTCAGCTGCTGCTGCACAACAGTCAGCTGTTGCTGAACCATGGTCAGCTGTTGCTGAACCAGTCAGCTGTTGCTGAACCACAGTCAGCTGCTGTTGCACCAGAGTCAGCTGCTGCTACACCACCATCAGCTGTTGCTGCACAACAGTTGGCTGTTGCTGAACCACGGTGAGCTGCTGCTGCACCATGGTGAGCTGTTGCTGCACCACAGTCCGCTGCTGCTGCACCACAGTCAGCTGCTGCTGCACCACCATCAGCTGTTTCTGACCAACATGACTCATCCCGAACCTGCCCATCTAGCCTGAGCGCCTCAGCTGGACTGCTGTCATTGTTTACAAATCAGGGTGGCTGCTTGAATGCATACATTCGATACATTTTGTATTATTCCATTGTTTATAGTGCTTGTAACTGCCCATGGGCCCAAAGAAAGCTTCTAGTGCCAACCCTGTGGTAAAAAGGGTGAGAAATATGTACTATTGTACCACGGTCAGCTGCTGCTGCACCACCGTCAGCTGTTGCTGCACCACAGTCAGCAGTTGCTGCACCAGTGAGCTGTTGCTGCACAACAGTCAGCTGCTGCTGCACCACAGTCAGCTGCTGCTGAACCATGGTCAGCTGCTGCTGCACCTCGGTCAGCTGCTGCTGCACCACAGCCAGCTGCTGCTGAACCACGGTCAGCTGCTGCTACACCACAGTCAGCTGCTGTTGCACCACAGTCAGCTGTTGCTGAACCACGGTCAGCTACTGCTGCACCACAGTCAGCTGTTACTGAACCACGGTCAGCTGCTGCTGCACCACGGTCAGCTGCTGCTGCACCACGGTCAGCTGCTGCTGCACCACAGTCAGCTGTTGCTGACCAACATGACTCATCCCAAACCTGTCCATCCAGCCCTGCCATCAATGTTTATAAGCCAAGGTGGCCGGTTGCGTGCATACATTCGATACATTTTGTATTATTCGATACATTTTGTAACTGCTAAATAAGCCACCATGGGTCCAAAGAAAGCTTCTAGTGCCAACCCTGTGGTAAAATGGGTGAGAAATATGTACTATCATACCACGGTCAGCTGTTGCTGCACCACAGTTGGCTGTTGCTGCACCACGGTCAGTTGTTGCTGCACCACGGTCAGCTGTTGCTGCACCAGTCAGCTGTTGCTGAACCACAGTCAGCTGCTGTTGCACGAGAGTCAGCTGCTGCTGCACCACAGTCAGCTGCTGCCACACCACCATCAGCTGTTGCTGCATCACGGTCAGCTGTTGCTGCACCAGTCAGCTGTTGCTGAACCACAGTGAGCTGCTGTTGCACCACAGTCAGCTGCTGCTGCACCACGGTCAGCTGCTGCTGCACCACAGTCAGCTGCTGCTGCACCACAGTCAGCTGCTGCTATACCACCATCTTCTGTTGCTGCACCAAAGTCAGCTGCTGCTGCACCAAAGTCAGCTGTTGCTGCACCAAAGTCAGCTGTTGCTGCACCATGGTCAGCTGTTGCTGCACCACGGTCAGCTGGTCCTAGTGGCATTAAAAGAAGGGAAGTAACCCCGGAAAAGGACGTGCTACCTAAAGTCCTAATGGAAGGGGATTCCCCTTCTAAACATTAACAACTTCCATACTCTCCCCTCCTCCCATCCCATCAGTCATCACCAGATCTTCAATAAAGGTAAGTGTCAGTTTGTGTGTATTCAAATTAATATTTCATGTGGTAAAAATTTTTTTTTTTCATACTTTGTGGTGTCTTGCACGGATTAATTTGATTTCCATCATTTCTTATGGGGAAAATTAATTCACCTTACGATAATTTCAGCATACGATGAGCTCTCAGGAATGGATTAATATCGTAAGGTGGGGGTCCACTTATTTCCCCGACTCATTGAGAGCCATTTGGAAATAACCTATAGTGGTGATGTGATAATGAGGCGTGTGAAAAATGTTCTACTCATATGTAAGATATGAGAAAGTTGGCTGTAAAAACATTAAATGATTTAAGTGGATATTAAGGTTATTAATAAATTAAACAAAAACTAGGAAAATTCCTTTTCCTCTATGAGTGATGACCCCCTAGGTGTGATAATCCCATTAGTTTATGAGAAGCACCATAACCCAGGGGCCAACAGGCTACGTTCGTAACATGCTGTCTATGAAACTCATTGCATTTCTTTCATTATTAATGCCATGTTAAGATATAAATGAATAGCTTACTTCCAAGATAATCAACGAAAATGATTGCGCACCAAAAAAAAAAAAAAAAAAAAAAAAATTTACTTTCAGTTTAATGGTGCATTATGAGTGTATATCACAGTTAGTCCTGTACTACACTACATGTTCGCTAATATAAGCCCCCAAGGCAGGGATAGGAGGATGGTACTTTTATCCCATATTGTCTAGTGGTAACTTTATACCTCTGTCAGACTGCTTGGTATTATGCCAAATATTATTCATTCTGGAGTATTTACCATGCTTTTGTGTTATTTATATTGTTTTTATGTCATATTAGATCAATTTTGATAGGTAAATAAGCCATAGTTTTGATATTAGCATAATAAAGCACATTCCCCCACATCACAAGACTCGGGAATTCCTGCTGAGGTAAGGAAATGTTCCCAGACAGTTCCTCATTGGCTCTAACTCCATAATAGCTCCACCCATTCTGTTAAGATGCTAAATAGTGAATTATTATATTAGAAAGAATAATAAAATAAATGAAAAATAAAACAGAAAAAATCTGAAAATTGACGAAATGAGAGCACGCATGGTACAGGTGAAGGCGTCATCATATATGTTATAAATGACTAATTCATTGTAGGAACATAGTACAACAATGATTCTTATACCAGTGTTGCCAAAGTGTCAAGGTATTTTTCTACATGAGTAGCTCAATTTTTGCATTTTTAAAATTTTTTTTTTACTTCACGTGTCGTGCATTAGTCGCCCCCTAAATCACTGTTTTACACTATGGTCAGTTTTTTCTCATTATTAATTGCATGCTGCAGGAATTTTATTTATGTAGTGCACACTTACCACACAGACCTATTTTCTCATATGTAAGCCCAAATTAACGGTCACAGCTTATCTGAGCGAGCTGAGCTCATGGCAACCGACAGTGGCTTCAAAGCCACCTTATCTTTTATGGACAATGTACGGTGCATGTGCCTTACATGAGAAGCATTTCTTTTATTCATTGGAACTTTGGCTAGGGCTAAAAGCAAGCAGGTTATAACAATAAATGGAGAAAAAGAAATTGGAATGACTTGTGCAGCAAGTAGCACCACCAAACAGTAGCAGCAGGTTGGTGTGATGACCCTGGAAATTTGAAATTATGCTAGCCACAATTAGTGCCAGATTACTGAAGGAACCAGATTACTGATTCCCAGATTAGTGATGGCCGACCTATATTGTATAGTATAAATTCAGGATCAATAATTACGTAAATGAAAATATTTAAACCATTTAATAAAAAGCATTATAGGGTATAAAAAAATTTCAATACAGAGAACAAAAGTAAAATAACTGTATAATAAGAGTTGCAAATTCAAAACTTGCAGAGTCCTATTAATAAGTGACAATAGTAATGATTAAAACTAAAGGTTGACAGATGTTTAGAATTAGCAATTGTTGTGCAAAACTAATGTTCTATTACAAAAGTGACAAAATTATCACAAGAAAATTTCCAAACTAATACAAATGTAGAAAATAAGATAATAATACAGTAACTTTTATATGATGTGTATTGCACACAATGGTAAATTGACTACGAGCTGGAAAAGTGAAACAAAAGCAGTATTAAAATAAATGTAATAATGATGAATGAACAATTGATGGAAAACATCGTCAACAACAGTTACATATAAATGTAAAAGAAATATATATTCAGAGGTGCAACTATTCATTATTTGAGAACTAATAATACTAGTTATAACAGATATTATTACATAATTAGTTGACATACTAAAAAAAAGAAGTAATTTTTGCACAAATTTATCTTGTAATAGAGATGATTTAGTGAACTAAAGTGCTAGCACAACACCACAGTCCACAACAGTCACCTCCAGAATGTTCATATGGTTGACTGCTTCCCTCACTATATCCAATCCACTTACCACTTTACCAAACACATAGTCCCACTGGCAACCATGTGTGTGGCTCCTAGTGGAGATGATGAACTGACTAGTGGTCAGTCCCCAGGGTGAGCACACAGTACCAGCACTGCGGGACCTCTGGTACTGTTCAAGCTGGTCAGTTAATGGTGGAGCTGCTGCTTGTGTATTATGCTTGCTATCTCCACCCTTAACACACTTGCCCTGCCAACCTTTGTTCCCCACCCTAAAAAGTTTAGTGTTGAGATAAGAGGAGCCTCGGTTCCCTGTACACAATGACATAAACTGCCTGCCCAGCCCAGTGTCTGCTCTCAGTCGAATGTAGACTCTGCCTTTGGTTGAGCCACCCCATGCCAGGTCAAGGAATGCCATAGTGGAGGAAGGCTCCAGTATCCCCACCACATCACTGTGCTGTGTAAACAAATAAGGATCACAACTAGGTGAAAAGCTGTGGTAACATGACATAAATATGGCATTTAATTATCTGGTTGCTTTGTTATGTATAGTATCTCAGAAGTGAACCCAGATGAAACTGTTCATCACATTATTACACAAAACATTTATATCTTCTGTACTAAACACACCATCTCCCACTGAAGTAGGGTACCCTCTCATTAGATTTCAGGCAATGAGTGCATGTTATTTAAAATTTTAAATGAGTTTCAGAACTGCAACATTCCAAACCTCCTGATAAATGTAATGAACACAATGTTGGTAGTGGAGTTGGTGATGACGGTTATAGTGATGCTTATAATGTTAGTGGGGGAGGGAATTTGAGTGGTGGTGCCACTTATCATACATTCACACATGAACAGCGTCATGCTCTGTGTAAACAAAGACTCCCACGAGGGTTTACAACTGGAAGTGCACCTAAAAAACTCATGGACCAGGGTAACACTGCTGACATTGATAACCTCTGCTATTGATATGAACAATTTTTTCATTATGCTGAGAAACTTAACAAGATCCCAGGGCTTATATAATGGATCAACGCTCGTATAAGCTTTCTATACATTAAGCTAGAATATTGCATCACTTAGAAAAAAATTTCCTGACCTTCATCATATTATTATTATAACCAAAATGAAGTGCTAGGATACAAGGGCTATACAGCGCTGCAGGGTAGGGAAGGAAGCGAGGGTACTGGGCAGTAGAAAGGGGAAGGGATGATTAGTAGGTTACAGAAAACAGCGGGGCAGGGGATAGCACGTGGGTAGAGGGTAGCAAGAGATTGAGGTAGAAAGGGCTGAAGGTATCATCAGAGTTTGTGGAGTAAGTCAGTTGTTGTCAAAAAATCAACGAGAGAGTCCAGATGAAAGGTGGGTCCATCAGCGAGAAGGGAAGGTAAAGAGAGAGCTGCGGAGCGAAAATGATGACGGAGGTAAATTCTGCGTGCTCGTTGATAAAGTGCGCAGTCTAACAGAATGTGGCTTACTGATAATGGAACCTGACAATTCTCACAGAGAGGAGCAGGGTGCCTTTCCATGAGATATCCATGAGTAAGACGAGTATGGCCAATGCGAAGGCTGGAGAGAGTAGTCTCCCAACCTCGACACTGGTGACAAGAAGACGGCCAGTAACCTATACTCGGTTTAATAGAACAAAGTTTGTTATTGAGCAGAGCAGACCAACGTTGTTGCCAACGGGTGTGAAGGTGGGTAGCTATTACAGCAAAATAGTCCGGAAATGGAACACCTCTATATGAAATTGGTAGGTCATGTACTGCTGACCACATAGCAGTGTCTGCCTGTTCATGACCAGGGACCCAACAAAAAACAATATCTTTATGCTTGGTAGAGATACGGCGTAGCCAAAGTTGGATACGGAGAACTAGTGGGTGAGGTGTATCAAATTTCCGTATAGCCTGTAGAACACTAAGGGAATCTGAGACAACCACAAATGATGACACAGGCATAGATGCGATATGAATAAGTGCTGCAAGAATGGCATACAATTCAGCAGTAAAAATGCTAGCTGAAGATAGTAAATGCCCTAGCACGACACTGTCCAGAAACACTGCAGTGAATCCGACGCCATCAGAAGATTTAGAGCCATCTGTGTACACGGCAATGGCATGAGAATGAGAGTGGAACTGGTCAAGAAAAAGAGAGCGGGAAACCACCGTAGGCAGTTGGGCTTTCGAGCAAGGGAGTGAGAAAGAACAGACCCGAACACCTGGAACTTCCCAGGGGGATAGGGAAAAGTGAGATGCTACATGAACATATAAAGGCGGTAACTGAAGGGAAGACGTGAGTGAATGTAGGCGAAGAGAGAAGGGATGGAGCAAACAGGGGTGGCGAACAAATAAAGAATGTCTACTAATATCAGTGACCATTCTATAAATGGAAGGATTGCGGAGATCGTGAGAGCGTATGTAGTAGCAAAGGCAATGGGCATCACGGCGATCAGACAAGGATGGAACATTCACTTCTGCATAGAGGCTCTCAACAGGGGAAGAGTGAAAAGCACCAAGGCATAAACATAATCCCTGGTGATGGATGGGGTTAAGGCTAGAGAGAGTAGCAGGAGAGGCCTCTGAATAGATCTGGTCACCATATTCGAGTTTCGATAAAATGAGGGCTGAATGTAGGTGAAGGAGAGTTCGATGATCAGCTCCCCATGAAAGATGAGTAAGAGTTTTAAGAAGGTTCAGCAGGCTGTGACAAGTTGCCTTTAGAGAGGTAATGTGGGGTTTCCAGGATAGCCTACAGTCAAAGAGAAGGCCTAGAAACCTGACTGTATCACGTTCAGGGATACGGGAGCCATAGAGGTACAAAGGATGATCGGAGATGACAGAGCGTCTAGTGAAAGTAATTTGGTGAGTTTTGGAACTGGAAAATTTAAACCCATGCATGGTGGCCCAATTGGAAACGCGGTCAACTGCATGCTGGAGAGAAACTGTAATGAGGTGACAGTCAGCGCCTGCACAAGCAATAGCAAAGTCATCTACATAGAGTGATGACCAAATATTGGATGGAAGAACAGAGGCCAAATCATTTATAGAAAGGAGAAAAAGTGTTGTGCACAGAACACATCCCTGAGGGACACCTTCTGCTTGGACAAAGTCTGGGGAGAGCACATTATTGACTCGAACACGGAAATGTCTGTCAGCTAAAAAGTTCTTAAGGAAAGATGGTAGATTGCTTCGGAGGCCTAAGGAGTGGGCTTGGGCCAAAATATTATACCCCCAAGTTGTGTCGTATGCCTTCTAAAAGTCAAAAAATATGGCAATAGCTGAGTGGCTATTCGCAAAGGCATTACGAACATACGTGTCCAAATGTAGTAAGGGGTCTATGGTAGAACAGCGTGTCTCTAAATTCCACATTAAACGTCTATTTACCAGACGTTCCATCACTTTGCAAACTGCACTGGTAAGAGCGATGGGATGATAGTGAGAGGCTTCATGTCCCGTAGTACCCAGTTTGCGGAAAGGGAGAACAATGGCAGATTTCCACAAATGTGGAAGAACTCCTTGTGACCAAATAAGATTGAAAAGGCATAGGAGGACTGCAAGGGCTGACTGATGTAAATGTTGTAACATATGAATATAAATGTCGCTGGGCCCAGCTGCCGATGATCGGCAAGCTGAGAGTGCTGCCTCCAGTTCCTGAAGTGTAAAAAGCACATTATACTGGTCTTCTTTGAGAGAAGAAAAGTCCAAGGGTGCTAACTCTCTGGCAGACTTTGAGGAAAGAAACGAGGGGCAGAGATGAAGCGCCAGAGAAATACGGACTAGATGATTGCCAAATTCAATGGCAACATATAGAGGGTTTGCTATATCAACACCGGCAACCCGCAGAACAGGAGCCGGGTCAGGAGAATATTTACCACTCAGTTTCCGTACTTTTTTCCAGACTGCACTCATAGAAGAAGCAGAGGTGATGGTGGAGACAATCTTGCCGGCAAGTGCGTTTAGCATCATGGATGACATGGCGAGCAATTGTACACTTCTGCTTAAAATCAAGAGGTCTCTAAAATCAGATCTTACTCCTATAACAATATTATTTCATAGTGACTATCTGTCCATTTAACTTTGTTTACCATTACTTAATTTAGTCACTTATATTTTCTCCTTTATTTTAGCTTTATATAACTACCCTAGTTCATATATTCACAACTATTAAAATAATCAAGGTGCTATTCTCAGGTGCTAAAGTGTAATAAGTTCACTATTTTGCCATTATATTCCAAAACTCATTTATTTGATTACCACTTTATTGTTCACCACAACTTATATTAGTCCCTTTTATATTGTTTCCCTAATTTTAACTTTGAAGAATTACCTTTAAAGAACTACCTACTATTATATTTCCAACTTCTATTATTTGATCATCACTTTATTTGTTCACCACAGATTATTTTAGTCCCTTTTATATTGTCTCCTTTATTTCAGCTTTAAAAAACTACCTTAGCTCATTTTTTTACATTTGTTAAATAATTCAGGTGCTATTTTTTAGTTTTAGAATACAGTGGACCCCCGCATAACGATCACCTCCCAATGCGACCAATTATGTAAGTGTATTTATGTAAGTGCGCTTGTACGTGTATGTTTGGGGGTCTGAAATGGACTAATCTACTTCTCAATATTCCTCATGGGAACAAATTCGGTCAGTACTGGCACCTGAACATACTTCTGGAATGAAAAAATATCGTTAACCGGGGGTCCACTGTATTTACTTTGTTTTATACTTAATTCTAACTGTAGATTCACTACAAATCTTATGATTACAAGCATTGATCCTGATACCAACCTCTTATTGAATGACTTAAATGAATCAAACAGTAACTGTAATTACTACACAGCAGAACAATCAAAGGCACTTCTCAGAGCCAACAACAACATAACTGTCTTTAACTACAATATCAGATATTTAAGCAAACATTACGATGACCTCATTGCATTACTAAATTCCTTGCATGCCAATATGTCCATCATTACACTAACTGAAACCTGGCTAAAGCCTGATACTACAGATGTCTATGCCATTCCTGGTTACACAGCCATACACAACTGTAGGCCAGATCAACAAGGGGGTGGCACAGCTATATACTACTCAGACCAACTAGAATGTATCACTAATACTTGCACAAGGGATGAACATGGGGAATACATAATAGCTAAATTCAAATCCAAATACCTACAAAAACCTCTCACAGTGATAAACATCAACAGAGTACCACAATCAAACATTAGCCATTTCAGTGAAAACCTAGGAAGTATGGTAACTGATGCACGCATGAACCAAGATCACTTACTACTCTCAGGTGACTTCAATATAAATCTCCTGCAAGACCAGGACCCACACATTACTGAATTCACAAACACTGAGTAACTGCATGTTGCTACCAACAGTAACAAAACCTACAAGAATTACAGAGACTAGTGTTTCCCTACTTGACCACATCTGAAC